ATTAACACAAGTATAATCATTTTTATTTTACTTTCTGTATAAATTATTAAAAAATATTTTTTTTTTTAATTCACGCATTAGGTGCTTGGTGTTAGTCCACTAGCTGGAGTTGTTAAAATGAAAGTAAATTGTGAACTTTCTGTAACTATAAAACATAAAGGATTTTTAACAATGTTTGAAGATGTCACTGGTTATGGAGCTTGGCATCGTCGTTGGGCATATTTAAATGGTACAGTGTTAAATTATTGGAAATATCCAGATGATGAAAAGAAAAAAGCACCTATGGGCACGATTGATTTATACACGTGCACATCTCAAAATGTGTCTGTTGCACCACGCGACATTTGTGCACGTCTTAATACATTACTACTTGAATGTCAGCGACCAGCAAAAGAAACGGACAAACAATCATTAATTATTGTGCCAAATGGACGTACAACTACTGTAAGACATTTGCTGTCGGCTGACACCAAAGAGGAACGGGAGGAATGGTGCGCTTATTTTAATAAAACATTGACATTGATACGCGCATGGGGACCACCGCAATAAAATCTTTGATATAAATATCCTTAATGCGAAAAAATTATCAATAATATTAGTAGAGTTCTTTTTTAAACCTTTTTTAAACGTATAATGTTAAAATGTACATTTTTGGCATTAAAAATGCCTTCGCTGTAATTTCCCTTATTAGAAATTATGTTCATGATAGTATTACTAACTATTTTAATATGTTTTGTTTTGACTTTGATAATAAGTCATTTTCGTTTTATTTTTTTTAAATTTTAATATTTTATTTAAAAAAACCGGAATATTTTAAATTTTAATATATATTATTTATTTTTTATTTCCTTTATTATGATTTATATCAGTTGTAGAGTATCCTTTCACGGATACATACTCTTATATTTAGATATCACTACAAATTATGAAACAATATTTTATAAAAAAAATAACATTTAAATATATTAAACTGACTACTGCTTGTGAATTTTGCATTCAAAACAAGTTTTATATACTATAATATATATTATACAAGTAAAAGAAGTATAGACAAGTATTAAATATTTATGTAAAGCAACATTTTTAGAATAAAAGTATATATTTGTTAAATTTTTATTCTTTTTGTTTTCAATTACGTCTGCTCTGACATTGGGAAATATGAGGATTAAAAATTAAGTTTTAATATTAAAATGTTTATACAGAGGATTTTTCAGAAAGTTCGAAGTATAACCGGGCATTTGATTTGATGTTGTAAACCGAAGAGTGCTTCTGGTATTGTACTTGTTGGGAAGGACATTTGTCATGTCATGTTAAAGTTTTAAACGAACCGGTGGTATTGCATTTATTAAACAACATTACAAAATAGCTAATTAAGGAGTTACCAGTTGATTGTCATTGATGTATTTATAATCAAACTTGCGAAGATGAACCCTCCTGCAGAACTCAACATTGACCTGCTCCAACCTGGACAAGAATGAACCAGTCAACTTTCCAACTAGGGCGTAACCTGCTCAGCACTACTCACGGCATACTAGGAACATATGTTAACAAACTGGGTTTACCTATATTGACTTTTGCCGGGGTTATTGCTTAGCGGATGAGGAGGAAATTATACTTCATCTCATGTGTCTGTGTCTATCATTGGATGAGAAAATATACAAAATTTTCGGAGCTCCTTTTCAGGCTCCAAGCTGACAGCTGCCATGCTGCATAATTAGGGACTTGTCCAAGTTTACAGACTTGTCAGGTTGAATTACGTTTAGTTGAAAGCAGCTACTACTCCAACCTCTCATATAATCTTATAATTATTAAATTATTTATAGAAAACAACATCTAGGGTTAGATTAAAGAAGAATTTTAATCCTAACTTGTGAATCAATTTACAAATTATGCTATTAGCTTTGGAAACTATGCCAATCATTGGTTTTGATAACTATAAGTGAATTATGATTCAGAGGCACATCTACGTAAATTCTCTATAACAAAGTAACTTAATCTTGGAATAGCATTCATGTATAAAGCTGAATATAATCTCCATTCTTTAATTATTTCTTATTCTTAGAATACGCTATAATCAAGATATACAACATTGACTTCTAGAACTCCTTAAACTTCTTAAATTAGATTTGCGTGTGGATACTAGTGCTTCTTGGCCAGAATGTATTTACAGTGTTTTCTGTTTAGGTCTAATATATAGAATTGCTTAATGAACCATTAACATTTACTTCTAAACAGTCATTAGAAACTAATTAGTTATAATTGGAATTACTCAATTAGGTTAATTTATATTCAAATTCTTCTTTGTAAATTAAAGCATTAATATTCATCCTTAGGTCATTTATACTGAGTACTGGTGTAAACGCTGTTATAGTCTCTATAAAGTGAGTATTAAAATCAAAAATTTATTATATTTTCCGAATCGAAAACATGGATTCATTTAGCTTATGAATGACTGTCTAATGGCGGTTCTGAATTAAGTCAGCAATGTTAATGAATTAAGTATGACTTAAGTCAGTATTCAGATTTAAGTTCCGATTGTGAAATCGATTCCTCAAGACTCCAACTTTTTATAATTCTTCTAGATGAATAAGACGTTTTTGTTTTTGTGATTTTTTTTATTGTCTGTATTATTTTATTACCAACTTCAAATTTAATGTCGTATTTTTTTATTATTGTATATTTGGCTGTTTAAGTAATGAATTTTTTCAAATATTAACTATAGAAAGCTACATATACAATGTATTTATTTTTTAAACATTTTTTTTAATACACTCATATATAAATATATATTGTATATAATGTTATCAATTACATGTTTTAAATATACTTCTAAAATTATAATATTTTTTACAATTGTTTATTTAAAAAATTTACTATTTTCAATTTTTTGAACTCTAAATCAACATATTTTAATAATTGGTAATATAATGTGTTAAATTTATGTTTTTATTTAATTGTGAATATTTTCAAGTATATATCTATTTTTAATGATATGCTTTTTAAACTCTACATAAAATATTTATATTTATATATACATTTAATATATATAAGTATTATTTTATTTATATTTTTAGTGATATGCTTTTTAAACTCTACATAAAATATATATACCTATATATATATATAATATTTAACAAGCATTATTAAAGCACCAAGCTGTACATCGAAAAGTATTCCTACTGAAAATAAAATTTTTATTTAAATTTAATTAAATTTAACCACGGCAGTGGAGATACCTTCTTACTCTTTTATAAAGAGCACAAGGCATAAGGATACAAATATTTATTAAGTCAAGATGTTATTTATCTAACTTTTTAAAGCCATTTATTTTACTTATACTCTTAAAAATCAGATGACATATGCACCGTGCTATGTTCTTTTATATTTAATGCGATATTCGCAGTATTAGTTTAATAAAGGGTTAAACATTTCGTGGTCTTGGTTAAGCAACTCTATTTGAGTGGCATACATTAAACAGAACTTCCATCAAAGTCAACATGTGTGTTCAGTTTAAGGTTTACCATTTTACAATATCCATCGTTAAACAATCTCTTAACATTATAAAATTTATTATATAGATGATTTTTCTGTAGTAGATACATAATATGCATTATATACTTCCGTCATGAGGGTCACTTTCTTATTTGGAGGATATAGTAACAAACAAAATTATCGTATTTGAGATATTGAATATCAGCTGAGACAACTGGTACATTGCACGTACCACTGTAACAAAAAGTTGCTGAATAGTGTGGTATTTGATGTGGTTGTGATCGACTCCACACTCCTAATAAATGTATGCCACATATTGTCAATACTGATGGATACAGCCGCATGACTACAAATATTTGTAGCGTGAAATTAAAGATATGAGTATGTAAGATATATGGTTTCAATAGGATGGTGCTAGAGACTACACCAAATAACTCGGACGTGTATTTTCATGTTTTAGTGATGAGAATTATATACTAAAATATTGCGCTATTTGTCACCACTGGATATTTTACTGTAGAGTTATGTTTATGTTTATGTTAACAATCTTTAAACTCTCGATGCTTTGAAAAGGACGATACTTTGACAACCCGTCAAGCTATGGTTGAACTATTGTCAGTTATGTGCCGACAAATCATTAAAAATTACTTCAAAAGGATCCAGTACTGCTAGATGGTGCGTGAAGTATATCTAAATGATGTTGTATTCCACATCTAATGACAAGATCAAACAATATAATTTTAATAAAATTATATAGAAATCTCAGTCACATTTTTAAAGTTTGAGAACCACAAAATGGGGACCCTTGTTTGAAATATTATTATAATTGTTATAGCTTATAACAATTAAATATTTTATATATTATATTTCTGTTGAAGATATATATTATTATATATATTTAAGACTTCTTTTTCAAATGAACTATATGAATTACTTAAGCTTCATAATCTTAAAAGCACAACAATGTTTAAAATATGATTATATTATTCGTTTATTTAAATATATTTCTCAAAAATAGATTTTTTCTAACAAAATATATATACGCATATGTATATATATTATAACATTCTTAATATTTATTTAATTGTATGCAAGCGATTACCTTTTTGAACTCACTTTTTTAAATTTCGCGAACATTTTAATTAAATTTTTATTTTATTTGTATTGTTTGAAAACAAATGGCATTTAATTTTTGGCTTAACAATTATGATATGAACTAATCTTTCTTAAGCAAATTATTTTGCAAAAACAAAAAAGAAAAAAAATAATTTATGAAAGTATACAACCTTTTAAGTTCTAGAATTTTAATCTTTAAAACTTAAAAATAATATATGATTATTAATTTTAATGCTCTATGAGCAACAGATTTTTTTTATAATTAAAAATATCTACAATTTTACAATTTTATAAATCTAAAATGAGTTATTAATTAACTATTTAATTAACATACTTAGCAGGCTCTGTACAAATAATTAATAAATTACATTTAAAGCTTTTCAAATGCTCTACGCAAATATTTAATTTAATTTAATTAAATTGCTTAACTTTATAATTTAAGCACAGTTAATATAATCTGGCTAATTTCTGGATAAATTTAAATATTTCAAATATTTTTACGTTGACACATGTGCTAAGCACACTTTTATTGTGCAGAAGGTACAAAATGTTTATGGGGCAGGCGGTGGAAGTTGTGCAGTCTGTCTACGTAAATCAGATTTTATGAAAGCAGTAATAATTGTCCCCAGTACTAACATTAATGCCATAGTTACGTTGGCAGTAATGTCACCGTAACTAGTCAACAATTCGGAATATAGCATTGTGAAGATAATGCCAAATAGTTGCGCACCAGCGTTAAGAATCCCTGCAGAAGTTCCTTCCGGCCCTGGATATGTAAGCTCAGCACCGAATTCAAAACCAACTGGCAGATATCCGGTCATAAAGAACCTGTAAATTAAATTGAATTCAAAAATTTTATTATGCTTACTTCATTCTCGTATTTCTTTTAAAAGTTATCTAAATTACTAATAAATAATAAAAAATATAACAAGGTACTTATAGGCAGTTAGGTAAGGATTTTCGAGTCCCCCTAACGATAACAGTTATAGACATATTAGTAGAGTAATAGTTCGATCAAGGGCTGTGAATGCTTTCCCTACGCGAGTTCGCTAGCTTTCAGTGGATTTAACAGTTAAAGACACGTTAGTAGAGAAATAGTTCGATCAAGGGCAGCGTATGCTTTCTCTACACGAGTTCGCTAGCTTCTAGTAGGTTTTCATGCGTATGTTTCCTCTAGCCGAGTTCGCTAGTTTTCAGTGGATTTAACAGTTAAAGACACGTTTGTAGAGTAATAGTTCGATCAAGGGCTGCGTATGCTTTATTTACGTGAGTTCGCTAGCTTTCAGTGGATTTAACAGTTAAAGACACGTTGGTAGAGCAACAGTTCGATCAAGGGCTGCGTATGCTTTCTCTACATGAGTTCGCTAGCTTCTAGTAGGTTTTCATGCGTATGTTTTCTCTAGCCGAGTTCGCTAACTTTCAATAGAGTAATAGTTCGATCAAGGGCTGTGTATGCTTTCTCTACACGAGTTCGCTACCTTCTAGTGGGTTTTCATAACCCGACAATCTGATATTTAATTTACACCTAGTGACAGAAAATTTAGATATCTGCATCCTTAAGCAATTTAAGCAAAGAATTTTTGTCAAAAACAGTCCCAATTGTAAAAGAATAACCATATACATATATTATTACTATGACATGTTCCAAAAGTACATACAATTAGAAATTGATTGTATATTTAAGAACTTAGTCTTGCTACAAAAAGTTTCCAGTTGTCTCTATGCCGTGTCATGTGTCTCAGCTCGTTAAACTATTTGGATGTTTTGGTGAAAATTGTTCGCCTTCATGTTGTCTTTCTATTTTGACATTTACTTACAAATAAAATAACTATTTTTAAATTTGGTAAACTATATACGTAAGTTATTGTTAATATACAGAGCGCTTTCTGTACACTTCCTAACATATACACTTCTGAGCTCATTTATGTATATAGCACCCAGTAAAAAAAATATTATATAGAAGGAAGAAATGAATAAACTTGAATATTTAATGGACAAACGCAGGATGAGCTTGGTAGAATGCACTGATGTAACAATTTGGAGGAAAGGTTGCGGTATAGAAAAAATAGTAAATAGTATATTAAAATAAAATTTGGAAAATAAAGTAAAGTATTGAAGATAAAGTAGAAATGAGAAATAACTTTAAAAAAAGGTTAACAATAATTTTTAATAATTAATTTTTAATAAGGAGGTTTTTTCAAATAATAGTGAACTACAACAACAAAAATTTTATTTTTTATATTATTTTCATTAATTGAACTTTTGGCTGACCATGCAGCTGTTTCGTGTATTGCCAAATACCCATCATCAGTGGTCTTGCAAATAATTCTTCTATTTAAATATTCGTAAATAATTATTTTTGAAACTGCAAGTACCAGCATTCGAACTCGGGCCCTGCCAAATATGAAGCTTAGAATCAGCGAACTTTAACCAACTGATCCTTTAACCAACTGATTGTTTTTTAGTAAATATAAAAAATAGAATGGCGTATGATTTTTCGTTTCTTGGATTAAGAAATACATTTAGAAAACTACAAAGTATACAGAAAACACATGTTATATCATTGAAATCATTAAAACTAGATTCTATATTCTAGATATATTTAGATCTTTACAAAATATGACTTATATGAGATGTTATTTAAGAAAGTCTGCGATTTAAAAGTAGCTCATTTATGCTATAAAGTTAATTGACATTAATAACCTAAATTAATGCTTTCGATCAGTTAGTCGTTGCGGAATCAGATATATATAACTTGTTTTTTTTATTATTTATATACATTTTTAATAAAAATTTAATTTTTCAAAAGTAATTAAGCATAATAACTTTAATTATTTTATTTCTATTATTCTATTATATTTATATTTATTATAATATAAATTAAATATGTTATTTATTTATTATATTTACTATATTTATTTCTATTTCTATTAATTATAATAATAATTTATTTTATTATTTCTTATTGTACTTACCCTAATAACATTGCAGTGAAGTATACCACAGCAATATGGCCAGTATCTAAGGTAAAAGCAAAAATCCACATCCCAACCATGGAAAAAGCGTATACCGCCAAAGTTGTTTCTCTATCAAATAAATCATTACAATAATTATAATATAATATATATATATATACATATATTGTAAGCTTATATGCTGTATGATTAAACAAATTATATTATTATTATTATATTACTAACAGTAGTATCGTCTGCAAAGAGTTTTGGATATATTTACTTTTCAGATACTAAGATCACAAAAATTAAAGAATATTTTGAGCTTACTTTTGAGCTTTCTATTATGAGCTGTCAAATTCTTAAAAAATAATTTACAACGCTGAATAATATATAAGATTTAGATAGAATCAGAGAGAGATAAAATTCATGGTAATAATTTTTCAAATATTTAAAATACTACATGAACTTAATAAAAACATACAAGTATAAGATAGTTTTAACGCTTAAAGAAGTATGTTAATTCATAAGTATTACATATAGATGATGTCAGAATGATATATCAAAACATTACATTCAGAAGGAAGGGCAGTAAACACAGCAATAAATAATCACCTACATAATGGAGTAAAAAAGGGTTTCCTTTATAAGTTAACATTTTACTGTATTAATTGTTTTTTAAACAATTTGTCAATAAATTTATTAACATGTAAAAAAGTTTTTTAAGAGGTTTTCTATAGAAATCTATTATGAAAATATTTTTTTATATTTTAGTGCTGTTAGGTGGCACTTTGATCTTTTCTTTTTTATTTCCTTATTTTAAATGCCAATAATTCAAACTTGATAATCAAACTACAAATTCATCTCAACTCTCTTGGAGACATCAAACTCGAATAATGTCCCCCTCAAAAATTTTTACGAGGGTAAAAAGGAAAGCGCCGCTTCGGATGTTAGAATAAAATCTTAATTTAAAAAAAGAGTAGCTTAGAAAGTAAAGAGTAGTTTATTATTTGACAGAATACATATTAAATTTAAGATTAAAAAAAAATTGACTAATTACTTTTTCATAATTATATTCATTATACAATATATAAGAAAAACTGGAAATAAAGTGAAACTATATTCTATACAAAGTGGAAGCTCTTAAGTAAATATGTAGTTTATGGACAAATAAAGTGGGTTAGAAATATAAATGCACTGGCATTATTATGACATTATTAGAAGGTAATAATAAAGTTAGGTATTGTATTATAATAACATATATACATTTAATTAACTCAAAATTAAATTATTTAAAAATATTATTTAAAATTAAATGCGATGAATATTAATCTTAAAACATAGAAAATTAATCTACATAAGCTACTTACTTAAATTTATGTGTCTTGTCCAGAATGATTCCGCATACAAGTGATCCGACCATGCCAGCGCATACAATACAAAGTCCTATACGTCCAGTGTCGATTTCATGTCCTGGATAGTAAGTAAGTACTACCTACACAAATAAAAATTAAATAAAAGTTAAATAAAATAAAATTTATTTAAATTAATTATGATTTATTTGCACTAATATATGCATAAATTTCCTATACAAATACAATAAAATCTCTAATAGCGAACACTCCTGCTGAGTGTAGACCTCGCTTCAGTTGATGTTGCTAAAACCGGGTTTCTTATAATTATTTTGAACAACTTAAACCCTTTCGGTCAAGACACCATTCTTGAATGTAGAAAACTTGACGGACCGAGATATATCATGATCTGTTCTTAAAATTAATGTTTTAAAGAAAAAAGTTATTCATCTATTTTTGTAAAACGATAGATGTTTTTACTTCAATCTGTAAATTTTAATATAACAAACTATCTTCATATTATTGCATTTTTTACAGTATAATTTTATATATTTTAGTTGTAAATATTAGTTTCACTGATTAAAAATTAAAAGATTATATATTATAAAACATTTATAATTCTCATTGGCTTTTATTATATATTTTTATAAGTAAATACTTAAGAATTGGCATAATGATTTATTTTAATATTTGCGATATTGAACTATGTTGTCTCACTAGTTATAGGATTGTTCTTCATGGGATAATATTGATTGCTTTAAAAGGCATTTATAGTATTATATTATTAATATATTGAACTGATGTCTGTGACCATGTACCGTAAATGCTTTTAAGTTTTGAACAATAATTTTTTTTTAACTTTAGTTAAATGTCTGGTCTTAGTCTTGAATTGTAATATTTTGAACAGGTAGCAGATTGTAAATTTCTATATCTATATTCTATAACAATCCCTAATAAATTTTTATAACTTTCTGAATATTACTTTTTTTCTCAATTTTGTCTTAAATAACTTACCGGATTTAGCAACGTAGAAATGGCATAAAAAACGCCAACATTAGTTCCATAAGACCACAATAGTAAGATATAGTTTCTGTTGAGCATCAAATCTTTCAATGAATGCATAAATGAAACATTGGACTCGGCAGCACCTGGCTGTGCAACATCCTGTGCAGCTGACGGTGGTGTTGGCGGTTTATCTTGGAAAACTTAAACAATAATATTTTATATTTGAATTAATTTTCATCTTAATCATGATTTTAAAATAAATTTAAATTATTGGTCTGTTTAAATTAAATTAAATTAAATTAAATTTAAATTAAATTCCATTTTACATATTAAAAGAGACGTGAATAAATTCTTGTTCTTAAAGCACTAACAAAATATTTAAAATAAAATAATAATATAATAGGTATAAATGCTAGGTATAAATTTTCTGCAGCTTGCTACTATTAACAACTATACCCACGGTTGCCACTTATGGTACTTTAGTACCAAAATTGATACTTTTTTTTTTTTTCGTTATTATATTATTATATCATTACTTTGAATGTATGAAGCTTTAGCTTTACAAAAACATTTGTGACTTCACTCCACACCCCCCACTTCCTTACTAACTAAAACATTTTGATCAAGAATTCCAAAAAAAAAATCCTTGGGCGGATATGGGTTAATATTAGTAATATTTCTATTAACGATTACTTTAGTAAATTTTGCAAAACTACAATACGTACTTTAAATACTTTATTTTACAATTATTCTTTAATAAATCACAACAATACTTACATAAAATTATTACAACAAGTAGGACGGTCACAATACCAGCATAGAGATAGAACATAAATTTCAAGTCGGCTCCAATATCATCGATATTTTCGGAATAACTGACCAAAGTTGGCGGAACAACAAATCCTATTGCCACACCGAGCTGAAAGTATATAGAATTATGTTTTGGTTTAGAAAATTTTGAACGATCTTTGCTATTTAAGACGTGTGCGAGTTAGGCTAAGTTGATGCTAAACCAAATGGGAGATTTTTTGGGATTTTTTGCACTGCACACATTTAGCCATTTATCAACACGTATCGACACATCACTACATTATCGGCACAACTAAGTATTTCCCTCATTTAGAACGCAACTTAGCCTAACTCGCACACGACCTAGTATTAAGTATGAATCTATAATAAAAGTGAATGGCAACTGATAGAAAATTGTATCTGTGCGAAAAACACGCATTACAATAGAGTAATATAAATCAGTTTTAGAACCAGGGAGGATTTTTTTTAATTTCGTTAGCCATTACAATGGAAGACCAGCGGGAATATATTAGAAAATATGTTGGTAATGATTTTGAAGTTCACTAAGTTTTCTTATAATTTTCATATATTAAAACCTTTCATATATGGGATTTATCTCTTTATCCTTCACTGAATAAAAATAAATTTGTTCCTTTTTTTTGTTTAGAGTATTGAAGAATAATTATTAAAGTAAGGAATGTGAGCATCAAACATTTATGACTTAAATGATTTTGCAACTTCACAAATTTGGAATTAATACATTTTAATAAATTTAGAAACTCAGTTTTCTCACTTAAAGGTATTCAACATATAAAGACATAATCAGTTACCAAACACAACTGGCAATTCTTGACAAAAAACTAAAGTCATATTTATTTATTTATTTGTGAGTTAATTCACAAATACACAAAGACACTTCTACCGATTCCCTGATACTTGCAGCATTTTTCATGCCGAGATATATGCTATCAAAAAAGCAAGCAATCTTATACAACTAAGTATAATGGTCCATCGAATATCACGATTTTTGTAGAGAGTCAGGCCGCATTGAAAGTAATTGAGTCCAAAAGGATTAAATTCAAGATTATTTTAAAATGTCGCGTCTCACTGATCAAAGAAGGTCTCTCATTATTGGGTTTCTGGACATGGCAATATTAAATGGAATGAACTAGCAGATGAGATGGCCAGAAGAGATATTGAACTAACAGCGAGAACTGTGAGGTCACTAGAACCTTATGGCCTAGTTTGGACAAAAGTAAAACGAAAAGCATTTTAGGCTTCAGCAAATCTGAGTTCATGTAATAACTGGAGTACTAACAGTGCGCTATGCCATTGTATCTATGCGAGTTCCAACAAGTGGATTATGCAGCAGTGGCCAAGATGAAGAGGAGGTAGAATCTATCAACCACTTCATGTGCTACACACAAGGCGACTTCAATGTCTTCGGGATCGTTTTCACATGGGCTTGGAAAACACAAAAGATAAAAGATAAAAAGCAAACTTATCGAATCTTCTTAACTTCATCTGGAAAATCGTAGTCCGCAAATCGTTTAACAAGGATAACTGCAATAAAAAACTGCAACGCACGATTACGACAGAATTTAATCACGACTGTTACCATTCCTTGCTAAGAAGTACCTCTTTGTCACATGTCATTATTAAATTAAATTTATAGAAGAGTTCGAATAGTAATAAAGAAACAATAACTTTAAAAATTTCCAAATTATCCAAATTAGTTTATTGAAATTTGGATGATCATACAATGCTGTTTCCAAAATTGTCAAGTACTCATTATCAGTGATCTTAGGAAATATTCAAATTTTTATTTAATAACTCTATAGTCCATATATGTTTCTAAATTTATGCTTAACAAAAAATTACAAAACAATGTGAATGTTTAAAAATAATATAAAATGTAACAAAAGGTTGAAATGATTTACAAATAGAATCAAAGTCATCATAGGAAGGAAGTTGCCTCAGTGAACCACTCAAACGAAGGTAACGGCTTAGGAAAATATATGTACACTAACAACCAATTCATTCATTGTTGTGTGTCGAAAAACATTTTATATTCACAGGAATGTATATACGATTCACAAGACATACCTACATACATACATATACTACAAGTATATCATTTTAAATAGATATTTTCAGCACCTCATATCAATTGCAAAATGCTTGCTTGCCTTTCTTTGTTTGTCAGTAAGCCATACAAACGAGTATATTTGCCTTTCACTCAAATCATTTAAGAGTAATCCTTCAGCGAATTTTCATATTTATGAGGAATCCTTCCAACTTTTTTCTGTTTATTCCATTATTTAAGACTGACGTTGAGTAATGTGTAACTTAAGTGCTTCCTTAAACAGACACGAAAATGCATAAACGATGTGCACACAAATTTAACGCACACTTTCATTTGCAGAATGGTAAAGTGCAAAAGTGCAAAAGGATATGATTTGATGCTGATATGATGATGTTCGTGATGATTTCACATATGACAAAATAATGGAAATATTATAAGGTTTAGAAAACTGCACAAATAAAATTACTGAGTCATAAGTGCAGTCGCTTAAGTAAATGTAACCAACCTTATTGCCAAGAATGGCACTATTAAGGGTGGGTCGTTAAAAAAACAGTAGTGAAGTAGTGGAAAACGAGGTTCGAGAATAATTTGGCCCATTTCCACAATTCTATTAAATTATTCAGATTCATTTGTGATTCAGCATCACAAATTATTACGGCAAATTACAGCAAAGGTTAATGGAATTAATCTCAACGGAATATATATATAAGTAAATATACTTCTGAATCATGTATTTAAGAATCACATGAAAGTAAACTTAAGTTCAAACTTCGTTAAAATATTTCCCACAGTAAAAAAAAACACTGCAAGTTTTTATAAAATGTCAGAAGGTTCTTGTACATTCTCATAAGAACTTTAATCAATTACTTCAGTTATAAATATAATTTAAATTCATTTTCATAATATTTCAATTATTAATCATTAAAGATTAATGATCGAGGCCCTATGTTACAGTAGGAGAGAAGAGCAGCAGTAAGTAAGTAAATCATTAAAGATTATTTACTATAAATTACATTATTAAGTAGTAAGCAATGTGTTATAAATATTATTAAAAATTCTCATAAATAATTTATGAGTTCAATTTGAAATAATTATATTCGTAACATAATATCTTAACCGAAGAACATAGCTTCAAAACTAATCATAAAATATTTAAACAGGATCACACAAGAACTACTGACTATAGTAAAATTTTCGAACGTGTTCGTTATACTAGATCATGTTCGCACTACTAGTAAGGAATAATAAATAAATGGCACATCTGGAAAATTGTTTCAACAACAAAGTTCAAACATATCGAACGAGCGTCTTATTGAAACCGCAAATCTTCAATTTCACTTTGAAATATATCGGTGATCATGTGATTTTAGTGATCTGAATTGATTGAGAAAATGTTTGAGGCTATCAAACCTCCAGACCCAATGCCATAAAATATAGTGACTATTTCTCACAGTGGTCCATGAAATGGTTACTTTTAGATTAAGTGAAAATTCTCTTCTCCAAATACGAGATTTTGTTTAATGACATATTAAGTAGGCCTAATCACTGATAAAAACTTGTTGCAAAAAATAACAATTCAAACGGTGTTGTTTGAACACATAGCCAGTGAATATGCTAGGCAGTACTTGGTTAAACAGCTTCAGTTACTAAGTTACAGAAGTTTTATGAATGGAGTTTAAGAATGGAGAAACAAATCAAAATACAGAATCCGTTAAAATGTACTGTAAGATAAACCTAAATGCTAATACGTCGTCTAATGCAAGACTGTCTAGGCCAGATCACTGAATAGGTTGGAGCTGCGCAGAAATAAATACATACGTTCATAGTTTAGTCGGAGAAAAATAGAAATTTTGAATAAGTTGCACAAAGGAATATATAATAAAGTCTATCAATTAAGTAAATTAACGAGAAATATAATAAATTATTTAAAATATTTTAATTCATTTATTTAGAAGACTATAAAAAATAAATTAATGTGATATTTCCAAAAAATTTGCTTAATTGTGGTAAATTAGAAACATATTACGGACTGCAAAAATTTTAGCCGCGGGCCCTACGAGTATGAGCCGTGCTTTGGATAGCCCTGATCTATTGCATAAATTAGATTTTCTTTGTAACTTTCACTCAAAGTAGCAATATTTTCTAGCAATATTTTTGTGTTCTTTATAGATATCTAGACCTTAGCACATCTACTACAGATCCAGTTTAAATAAATTTCTTTACAGTTTTGACTGTAGTGTGTGCAGATAAACGATCAAGTCGTTCATAATCTCTCTTGATGCACCAAATTGACCTATTATAGAATCATTATTTATGTAGTTTTTTCATAATTTAAATAATTCGATTGGTTATTAAATGATCTATTTTAAAAAATGTAAAGTTTTCAACAAAATTCGTATTGCTTTAGATGATAGAATTGTTTGATTATATATATTAATGAAACAGGAGACCAAATATAAACCATAAATTAAATAACACTTAATTAATGAATCGACTGTATGTTATAGTACCACACCTATCAATGTCGTACACCTATTTCATTACACCTATGTAATGAAATTAAATAAATTCTTTGCTTGTTAGTTACTATATATTTATAGTTGGATTCGAAATATATGAAAATGAGAATAAATAAAAAATACAAATACAAATTTAATTTAATTTGCAGATTTTTATTTGCCAACTATTTTGTTGAAGTCAAGTAATGTAATTTGAATATTTAGTGTGTAATTTAATTTAATTGAAGTTTGTTTTTAAAATTAAATTAAAAATAAGTACATACTTCAATAAATTACATTTCATATTGTTTCGAGAATTTATTAATTTATTAATTCTTTGATTACAGTGTTTAAAAGTCTTTAAATTGAGAGCTATTCTATTGAAATGCAAATTACGATACACAAAAGTTCAATGAAATATTTTTCACATCAATTAATTATATATTTTCATATAATTTATTTCACTTTCAGTAAAATCCACTTTATATTTACAATGTTAAATATTTCATCCACTTTTAAGTCATTGGTCTTTTTATATGCAATTGG